AAGGCGAGGCGGCCCCGGCCCCGGCCCTGGCCCCGCTCCGCCTCGCCCCGCGCCCCTGTACCAAAGCTGGGCTTCACGCTGAAAGACGTGCTTTGCTTGCGTGCCTCGGGATGTGCAAGGGTAGGAGCCGAGCTTAGAAAACAAGGCGCTCGTTCCTTGAAAACTGCAGTTAATCTAAAGTGAGCTCGTGTTGCGGTGGCCAGGCTGCCTGGTGCGCGTGCCGTAGCCGAGGGTAGTGTTCTTAATGTGCTCTGGGGCCTGCAGAGTACGATAATCTTCATGTATCCTGTAAGATACGAGGCGTGCTTCACTGGGGCTGGCTACCTGCGGAACTTGTGGAGACCCTCTCGGCTATCTGCAGTCAGCTGGACATGGAAGCAGCAGAAGGAAATAGGAAGGAAAACAGAGAGTGAGAAAAGAGCCTTCCAGCATACATGATACCTCACAAGCAAACACTCAGGTTAGCTGGCATACACATAGATTTGCGTAGGACGCAAGTTCAGCCTGGTTAGTACATGCGAGCTCTCCACTCTTGCCATCTGAGGCAAGGCAGCAGATGCCTTCAGGCGTGCCAGGAAAGCGTCTAGAGCGTCTCGCGTTTGTCCCCTGGAAGTTGCTCTCTTGTTGCGCGACACAGACGTGTGTTTCTCTGCCAGAGCTCTAGCAGGTCCGCGAGCTGGGAAGCAGACCCCTGAAGGAATGGCCAGCTCCTGCAAGGAGCTATTTTTCAAACCAGGGCTCCCTGTAGTCTTGAAGGGTCCTTTTGACAGCACTTTCTCTCTTTCAAAACGCTGCAATTTCTCCTTAAGAAAGCTAGGAAAAAATTCTGCCACAGAGCAATGGGCATTGTCAATGGACCATGTATCCGGGAAACTGAGATGCGGTTAAAAGTTTTAGATGGAATTTGGAGGAGGATAATGAATTAGTTTAGCACTTTTTGACAGAGAGTACCTTTTAAGTACGAGGGCTGCCTGAGAAAAAGCACAAGAAGCTTGTTTTAAGGCGTCTAGGCAGGAAGAGGTTAAGCTGGCTGGCTCGAGGCGAGAGCTAACGCTGTTCCAGTCTTTGAAACTGCAGGTGTGCGCCTTGCGGCTGAGGTAGCGAAGGTGGGTCGTGCTGTCAGCGCGCCGGGCTCCGGAGGAGCGTGAGGGAAAAAACTGACCGCAGGGAGCGTGGGGCCGCGTCAGAGAGGTCGAGGCCGAGGC